CCCCAGAGTAAGGCAAGAGTTTCCTGTGCTAGTGAACCTGTATTGTCCCATTTTCATTTCTCTGGGGTTATCAGGCAACATGTTGTCTCTTCTGTACTGGTCCCTGCAGTTCTTGCTGATAACAAAAGTTTGTCCCTCTTGTTTCCGTGATGGATGTATTACTCAAATTGTTATTCTGATCCCAGATCATTCCATAGCTGGAAAATGTCTTACAGATTCATTTTCCTGATACGGAGAAATCAGACATGATGGGCTGGCTTGTGAGAAACTTCAATGAATGAAGTGGATAACTGAGTTTAATTCCTTAATCTATTTTATTCATTCAGTAGTGCTTCTTTTTAGCTACCATATTTCTCATTCATGGTCTCAAGTAGTTAAAATGTTAACCTATGGATTTCTCTTTCCTGCATTATTCATATCCTGGTGATTTAATAGAGAATTAGGAAAAAAAACCACAAAACAGTGAATGTGGATCCTCAGGTTTTTTTCCTGAGGAGATGCTGCACAAATGCAAGGATACACATTTATGTTTTTTGGAGTAATTTGTTGCTGTTGACATTTTCAGTCAGTATCCAGGATAACTCATTGCTGTGATAATTGCCTGCTTGCCCTGTATATCATGCACTATATCAGGTAAGGTAGTGAAAAGGGCAGCAGAATTTCCCTGGGAAATCTAAAGCAATCACATGGAACTACAAATTCCTAAGAATTATTTCAGTCACTTGATGATGGCTCACAGTTTCCATCCTTACATTATCACCCCTCAGCAGACAGGCACCACGGAGAGAGAACTTCTGCTTTAAAGAAACACGGTGATTTTTCAGAGATAAGGGTCTCAGACAACGATTGTTTCCTACATTACAGCATCAAAATGTGTCAGCTGTGGCTGTATTGTTTAGGCACCACACAAGCACATAGTAAGCGATCATTTTTCCTCAGGAGGCTTTGATCTCTGGCCAGACAAATAAAAGCATGGGGAGGGGGAAGGAGAGAAAAAAAAAAAAAGGAAAGGAAACATAGAAGCTAAACAGTCTGCCCAAAATTCACACAGCTCTGCAACAGCAGAACAAAAATGAAAACACAGTGCTCTCAGATCTTTCCCTTTGCACTACCATTCAATCCACTTAAATTTTTAAGTAGGACTATGTGGCTCCTAGTTACCTGGAAAATCCAGTTTACTGGCATATCCAGCAAATGTGAGGAGAAACTGGCCCCTGGCTGTTGCCTCCTTTACTCCTCTGGTATCAGGAGTCAATGTACTCTTACATAACTGAACAGACCAGTATGTTGTGAGAATGGGAATACGGGCAAAAGGAGAATAGTGGAGAAAAAACAATCACCAAAATATTTATCAATAGTGGGCCTGAGTTTTTAAAATCAGTGCAGCAAGGAACCCTTACACAGTTGGGACAAAAAAAAACTTGTTTGTTACTCTAATTCAGCAAACTAGAATTACATGTACTGCCTATAGAAAAAAATAAAAAATCCATCTATAAAAAAAGATCACTCTCACATTCAGAGACTTAGCAGAACAAAATTGTATTCTAGCCCTCAGAGGGGCCCTGGCAAATGTGTTTTAATGACCCAGCTAACTTTGTAGTTTCTACCCATCAAGTTAAGCCCTCTTCTGTGCATCCCTACAGGTGGATGGGGCATGAATGGGTACCTGGGCAATGGATCAGAGCCTGCAACAGAGCATCAGTGTCTGCTACCATGTTCTCACTACTTGTATACAGAGCTATACTCTCTACTAGACCCTCTGCTTAGCAGACTGCCCTCCCTGGGTGCCATTGCTTGAGAGCCATTTCTGATATTTAAGTGGGAAATGCTCAGCCTTGCATTGCAACTTCAACACTAGGCATCGAGCTATCCATTTGTCCAGCTGGTTGGCTTCAGTGGCAGTAAGCACACGTCTACTCAAGCCCTGGTCCAATATGGAATACAACCCTGTGTGCTGCAAAAGTAACCAGGGAAGCACCTATGTTGCTTTTTCTTTTTTCTCTCTCAAAGTTCAGTGGTTTAACAGAGACTGTATGCAACAAGGTAATAAATATCTTGGGTTGTTGATACCTGACTCAAATTCAGATTAGCACCTGAAGGTAGAAATGCATTCCTTTCAACCCTGCCCAGAGGCTCCCAACAATCATTGCTGTTCCCACATGTGGCAGAGAGACCACACACATCCCTTTGTAACACTTAACTCTCTAGAAAATCACTAGCTGCTAATATTGCACCTCTTCAGACTTCTTCGTCTACTATTAGCACTATTTTAATTAGCAGTGAAAAACGTTGGTCTTTCTTCTTTTGGAGACAGGTCTAATTTTCACTCTTTTGCTTGTTTATTTGCTTGTCAAGAGATCTCTTCTAATGTTGAACAGTACATTGATCTCCTAAAAGTGAAAAAGTTTGTAGCTCATAACCTGTAAGTGAACAAGCAGATGATCCTAGGGAAGACCTTGCACCCACACAAAGTGTGTGTTTCTTCTAGGTCACACTAGACAACATTTCCACCCCTCTTGCCAATTTACTTGGGTATTACTGGGAAAAATTATAGCTGTGGATCACCAAATGGCTCCAGAACTGGAGACACAGAAGTTGTTTTGGGAGGGTAAATTTTCAGGAGTGGTTGGGGAATTCTGGCAATTACACGTTAACCTGAAAGGCAATATTTCTTTTGCAAATCTAGATTTTGGCAGTTTTGGAAACAAGAAGGAGCTAGAGAGTGCTATCCACTATTCTAGTGAGTATTCATGCTTTATTGTCCAGCTTTTGAGTTTTCAGTTGGTCAGTTTGGCTTTCGGTGAGTGATAGGAGTAGCAGAGAAATTAAACTGGCAGCTTTATTTCTAGCCTTACCAGACGTAGACCGTATTACAAACTCAATTTAACTGCCTGTTATAAAACTCCTCTCAGAGAGAAACAGAGCTTAACAAGTTGACACCACTCTTATTGGAGAACAGCACAATTATTCCCAAGGACTGAAGTCAAAGTGATAAAACCGAAAAAACCCCAAGTGAACAGAGTCATCCCCTGTGGGAGAATGCACAAGAAAACATACAAAAATGTTGTTCATATACTGTTATGAGTACGTATTATATGAATATATTACATGAATTTATTGTTCATATTGTCATGGGAGAGAAGGACTGGGAGGGGTTCTGCAAACGCTTCAAGCACTTGATATTTGCGTGATGCATGTTACTTAATCTTTTATTTTAATATTATGCATCTCCAGGACAAGAGCGTTGCTGCAGATCTCCTATTTCCTACCCAAAGTACTGGCTTAGTAAAATATGTTTCTTGTTTTTCCACTGTAAACTTGTCTCCGGGTTCTCCCCCTAGTTCCATAGATGCACACGGATATCTATATGAATATTAATTGCATCAAGGGCCATCAATGATGCCATTTCTAAATATTGGGTGGGCATGACAACTGGTTCTGAGGAAGGCTGCGGGAATTTAACTGTGGCAACTCACTGCCAGAAGAAAGATAAATGGGGAGAAACTGAGCTTATATATTTCCCCAGGAAAGCTTTTCTTCGTTACATAATTCTTTTCTTTTTGCTTCTTGGCTGGGAAACACCTGTCAGGAAATGGCAGATGGTGGGAAATAATAAAAGGAAAGAAATGTCCTCATTTAAAAAGGAGATCTTGCGTTTTCTATCCCTGGTTGTAAGTGCTGTGGGGAACGTTACTGAATTATGTAACTCCTTGGTGTCTTTCTGGGCATACAATGTTAAAAGAGAAATAATTGCTTCGGTTGCTGAATTTCAGATGAGTCTTGTTTGCAAAAAAAAGAGAGGAAAAAAAATTGTGTGTATCAAAAATTTATTCCTGAAACATTTATTCCATCAACACTGGCCCCCAAACTGACACTATGTTCTCTCTCTTTTGCAGGCGTTATCTTGCCGATTGTCATCACCTTGATAGTCATTACCCTTTCTGTCTTCTCACTGGTGGCTTTGTACAGAATGTGCCAGAAGAAAACTCCAGGTATTTGGTTTGCTTTCTCTGTGGGGGAAAAAGATCCATGTGCTTTTTATTATTAAAAGATCTCTGGGGTCTTTTTAGATTACCTTAACTATAGATGTTGCAGTAGTCTGATAGGAAAGCTTCTTGTATTTCAAAGTATTTTGCCTGAAGTAGGAAAGTAACATTTTGTTTACAAAATTAGTAAGGAGAACAGAGGGAGCAAAAACGTCTCTGATTTTTGGAGAATATATTATGCCATAAAGCTTTTTGTTCACACTTTTGCAGCTACAAAGAGCTAACAAACAGCTGTGCTAACGCAATCAGTCAATCAGGTAGAAAAAGACAGTGAAAACTAAGTTTGGAGATATTTTTTAACAAACTATATTTATTTTATCTCTGTTTTAGATACAGGCAAAGAAATATCAATACTTTCTTTCAGGAAATACCTGGTATACACACACACATATATAGAAGTAAAATTTTCCAGTTACAGTATAATGCACATAAGCACAAAATCCCTTAGCAAACAGTATTTTCAGAAACAGTTATTTTGACAGATCAGCTAAAGCCATTATCTGTCTCACTGCTGTCTGTCAAATACTTAAGATAATGGGAGGTGTTGTTAAATGCTATTTGCCAAGTGTTTCAGAGAGTTGCCCGAGTGGGCCACAGGCAAACGTAATTCTTCATTAAGTGAAAACCCAGATCTGAATCCAGACTGTGGTTTTTCTCTCCCTGCAAGCTGGCGTGGATTGGGAGAGACCTGTGCAGAGCTTCAACTGTGAAATCACCAGGCCTTCGAAATATAAAATCACAACAGGGTGTTGAAGCTGTAGACTAAGGCAAACTGTGTGTCGCAACCAATTTAGCCAACGACATGGAAAACCAGACCCAGATAAACAGAGGAAAGTGTGATCCTTGCTTAGAAAATTACTGAATATTGGGAGTCAAGACGTAAAGATACGAGGCGAAGAACATTTCCTTGCCAGCCTCCCCCATGCACAAATGCCAGCAGGCACAATACTAGAAAATTCACTCGGAAGCTGGAGTAGATCAATACCTGCGGTGCTTCCTGCAGGATTTGTTCAGGTCTATCCAGTTTGCATCCCCTGTGGATGGAGAGCCCTGTGCCCAGTGCCATGGGGCTAGAATTGGCTCCATGGCTCAAATATAACTCCTCAACCCCATCCATCTGCCTGTACTTGCACATAAAAATAAAATATGTTTGATATGATTCATTTTGGGGAGAAACCCGTTCGTTATCAGTGGGGATGACAGACTCTGTTCTCACATGTCGTGCCAGGTTAAACCCCTCAGAGCATACAGTCTGGCAGCTTGTTCCCTCACTCCCTTCACCCCGTATCATTTAGCTCAGTTGTTATGTACTCAAGAACTGTTGCATGCTCGCCTCCTCTGTGCCAGCTACCCAGGGATTTGGGAGCTGCGGGGAAAAATGCGCTTCTGTTGTGCTCTTGTGCAAGTCGCATATCATTCTCCCTAGTTTCCAGAAGTATCAGTTCGAGCAGTACCAGTTCACTTGCATAGATGACATGGTTATCTTTTGGGAAGACACTAGAAAAGTACCAACTACCACTCAACCTGGTTGATTGTGTTAATGTACGTAATGCAATACTGCAAAATCACAAGTAAGCCCTCTGCCAGCAACTGCAATAGCTGTGTCTAAATGTTTACTTAATGGAGTTCCAGCACTCAAAATGATTCTAACTTTGTTCTTTCTTCCAGAGAGACAAGAGAACAGCACTGAACAGTATGTTGAATCCTGTCTTTTCGTTGCTTTGAGTTCTATCATGTGGCATTTGTGAATGCAGTAGATTCTGCACGAGATTTTCTTTGATCTTTGTCTATTTAAACATAATAAGCTGTTGCCATCCCAAAGAGAAATATTCTGTTGCAAGTGATGCACTTGCAGTTATTGTACACCTGTATGCATGATAAGCATCTGTTCCAGCGTGGATAGAAATGTGATGGCTCTCAACTGTTTTGCAGGGAATCCTTTTGAAATGGGTAAACTGCTTATGCTATGCCACAGGACCAAATGGCCTAGTCTTTTTTATCTTTTTTTTTCAATTTTTGCCCCATTGATCATTTTTTCCCCCTCCATCCTTTCCCATCCTCTTTATTTTGTTCATGTTTTCTCTCTTTTTAATGTTTTATTTATTCTAGATTATTTTTCTCTTTCTTTTTCTCATGTTCCCCATTATTTAATTTTCCTGTGTCCCATCTTCTCACCACTAGTCCATTTGCAGAGGCTCAGTTAAAACAGCATTGGCAGAAAGGGTTTAAGAACAGTAAAACCAAGAAAGATCCATTAGGAGATACATACTAGAGGCCATTGAGTCTCACAGTGGCCTCTATGTTTTGCACAACCAAAACCAACATTAGGGCTGCTGATTTGCTTGGTAGCCCTGACTCCTTGGACATCTAAAGTGTCCTTCCTCTAGTTCAACATGGCTAAAAGCCTTGTATTGACAAAGAAAAAAGATGACTCCCTCCTTTCCCCAAGATGTGCTACTTCTGTGCAGCACTAGACTCATGCAACTTCATTTCTCACATATTTTAAGAGAAAAGTGTTTTCAGAGATATTGGTATATGGCGTTTTCTACCACTGAGACTAACACACGATCACATGCAAAGCCCATTTCAAGCCTGCCAGTGTAGACTGGCAAAGGTGCTGCCTCCTCAAGATCATAATCTTAGAGTTTTGTTTGACTGACCAACATGCATGCTGAGCTTCATGCTGACTGTCTGCCTAAATGTTTTCTGACTTCAACAGGGCCCAATCAGATAAAGAAGGAGTGAAACTTCTTTCTGTGAAGACAACTTCTCCTGAGACTGGTGAGTGTTTCCTCTGTGTGCATGTCTGTCTCTCTGAGCCCAGAGAGGAGCAGTTTTAGGATGTCATTTCCAATAGTAAAACCATCTTCAGCTCCTGTCAGGTCAAAGTCACTGCAAACAATTCCTCTACTGTGCAAATTCCCAGACTGGGACCCTGTAGAGCTGCAGTGCAGCTGCACTGTGTGTGGTATCGGTATTTGGAAGTGAGAGGTATGACTGGTTTAGGGAAAATCATTTTTTAACATTATTGATGGTAAGTGATCTACAGCTAGGCATGTTCAGGAGTAACTGCGAACATGGTATTTTCAGCTAGCCCTGGCTATACAAGGAAGTTTGAGGACTGGTCATATTCCAGGGGCCAAAAGGTTTGGGAGTCAGTGCTGTGCGTTAACAGGGCTCTGCTGGAGTTGGTGTTGGCAGTGTTCAGTTAGTCCTGTAGCCAACCACCCTTTGCATTCAAAATTCTACTCTCATTGCAAATTCCTTTATGCTGTGCTTCATTGATCCAGCTTCTCACAAAATATGTGTGTAATAAAACCTAAAGGAACAGACATTATAGACATCATGCACAAAAAAAAGACAAAATCTCATCAATATAAGCTGAGATGAATGCAGTTATAGTTTCTGCAAAGAATAGAGTAGCACCAAATGAGACTGAGGCAGAACAAAATTCTGACTAATCTGATTTCCAGATATTCAACAAAATAATGAAACCTCTCCTGGTGAAACTTACCCCCTTCATCCATTGAAGTTTGCTTCCTCAGCTGTGTAGGTCCTATCTTTTCTCCCGCCTCATCTGCAGAAGTTCTCCAGGAAAAATAGTCTCTTACTTTATGCTTTTCTAGGTATAAAACCTTTTTCTTTTTAAGATTTCTGACCATCTGTTTCCCCTACTGACATTTCAAAGGTTGCCCTGCTCTCCCCTTTCCTCTAAATTCTCGAGAAGTCCTCTGAAACACAGCGCTTGATCTGAACTATCTTCCACTTGCACTTTGCAGCCTTCTCTGAAATTCCCAAAAGGTTTTGCACAGTCCAAAAGACCTACAGGGCAGCTCTGGCAGCCGTTGCAGCAAACGGGAGTCGTGTAAGGTCCCTGCAGCCTCGCAGGCACACAGCAGCACGCTGCTGAGCAAATGCAAACTCCACTCTGGCACTAAGCGACTGCACTTCAGACATTTGTGATTTGGGAATTTTTTTCTTTTTTTTTTTTTTAGTATATGTCTTTGGGAATAGACTTTTAGCTTCATTTTAAGGAGTATGGAGTTGTGTGTATGTTTACATTTAAAACCACAGGGGTTTTTTTCAAAGAATTAAGTCAGAAACTGGAACTCGTAGCCATTTTTTGATTGATTCTGCCCTCATACTGGCTTCGACAATAAAGTAACCACATTGGCAGCAGCAGAATTGTTTGTGTTTTACACCAGGGTAAATGAGAAAAGACTCAGGCTCACTGTTTTTTTCACAACATAAGGTCTGGTGCCTGTTAATCAACTACTGGTTCACCAAGTGTCTGAATTTCTTCCATCCAGAGGATGCTTGATATTCTTTTTTACTGAAGTATGATGTACGCGTGCTATAATTGGAAGGTATGAGTCATAACCACTTAGAAGACAAGATTCTTGCCCTCTTCTCATTAATACAATTCATATTTAAACTAGACACCATTTTGTCTTGAATTCTTACATCTTTATATGTTTCAAAATTAAACATGCTTTCACAGAAATGCAAGTCCAGTTTTTCCCCAGTTTTTTAGAGACACTTTAGCTCTTAAATTAGAAACACTCTGAAAGAAGGGCCTGGATTTTTACAGAAATATTTGTCACTCATACAGGTATTTTTGACTATGTTAGGATGTCTGCCCATTTGAATAAGGGTTACTCACTTCATTAAAAGCTTGGACATAAAGGCAAGTGTTTCTTACGGTACAGGCAGAAACTTGAGAAATGTCTGACTCGTGGTCCCTCTTACAACTACCAAAAACAATTGCAACTGTGTAGAACTTCTTTGTATGTGTTCTTTCTCCTTTTCAGACACATAAAATTCAGCTCAATTAAAAGGTGAATCATTGTCCAACCATTTAGAAAGTGTGTGTTATAGCTGCCTCTGTACACACCAACCAAGCTACAAAAGATTTTGACTGAAACTAGAAAGTTCTTACAAGCAGCCTTAAGTTTAGAGATAGACCTACATCATCCTCACTATCAATAGGCTGCTCAGCTGCCTGAGGTCAAAACAAAGTTCTGCTTTGATGTGTATTCAGTTTAAGCTTAATTATAAGTATGCTTTATGGTGTTGGGGTTTTTTAACTTTTATTATTCCAAACAGAAGATTTTGAGATTGTGCAGTTGTTCCAAAAATGTGTAAAAACCCTATATACAAAGCAAATAAGGATACAATCTACAAACTGCTCAAGCAGGCAACCTAGAAAAACCCTATGTCAGTGTTGTGCATGATACATCTTGATCAAGTGTTATGGTGAGTTTAATCTTACCTTATTTTATCTATCTAAAACCTAAGCTGGCTGCACATAGTCAGTTGAAAGAGATACATGTGTCCAGAGGGCTATTTATCCCATCTGTCTTGGACATGAATCTTGAACTGGAATGAGCTGACCTATGGAGGTCCATTGACTAGAGAAGGAGCCTATTTTAGGACTTCCAAAATTAGGTTCTGACCATAAATTAAAAGAAAATATACTCCTTTTTCAGTAGGATAGCTGAATTAGATTTGATCAGGAATATTATTTCAAATACCTACAGTTAATGTGAAAGAATACAGGAAAAGAACAGTCTTCAATTAAGCCTGGACTGAAGTAATGTTCTTTAATTGAGCAATGTCGTCAGGAACATTAGGTAAAACTGAGCTTTAATATTCTCATTTTTTAAAACTCTTATTAGAAAGATGGAGTCACTGATGGCTCATGAGCTCTAAGGAATTACTGGTTGAGAATTGATGTAAAGTAAAGAGCCAAACAGACAAAACTAAACAGTTTGAATTTTTCACACACATTTGCCAGTGAACTGCAACAGGTGATGCAAGATAAGTGCCTGTGCATGCTTCTTATGTGAAAACTCGACTTGGATAAAAGTGCTCATGATAGCGAATAGTCTCAAGAGTTTTACACTAATGTGTAAATACAGGATTTGCTACAGCCAGTCTGTGTTGACTATACAGGCAAATTTAGGGTGGCTGTTCCCGGGGATGATAAACGGTCTTCTACAATACAGAGCTCTAGAAAATCTACCCTCAAAAATATTTCTTATTTGGGATTCAGTACAGCCCACAGAACTGCATGTTTGGCTTGTCAGTGGTAAATTTGTTTCCCAAAAATATAAGATGGAGGGTTTTACTTGGTGACTAAGAGATCAATACCATCATCCATGATGTTAATGATAAAGTGTTCCCTATCTTGAAAATGTACTTAACTTTTGCAGTAAGGGTTCTTCTTCACTGATAACCAGCGAAGGTATTGATCACCTTTTAGGACTCATAAAAAATGTTGAGGGATGGAAATTCCTCAGTAACAGAAAGGTTGAGGAATAGAAATTGGAGAAAGGCTACTCCATACAGATGAATGATGGGTGATACCTGAGTAATGACCTGACAATTTTCTTTTATGGCAGTTGCCTGGACTACCCATTCTAGAGCAGGTAAAATGTATGAAGGGCCTTTATAGCAGCAGCACAGCAGTTCAATATTCAATATAAAGTCTCACAGGAATGTGGAGGGTGACATAATGTTTCAGAGCTGTTAGGTGTAATCCTGGCACCTAAGCATAAGCTGATTGATTATTGCATGTTTTCTAACCAGTGTGTGCTCTTTTGAGATGATAGGGTAGGATATGACTTACTTGGCTTCTAGGGGATATTGTCTGTTCTGCATTGAATTTGCTGGGAGGATATTAAATGTGTCAAAGCTGATGTGGCTCAGATCTTGGTGAGGCATCTGGAATGGAAGGTGGCTGGAGAAGAGTCCATAGTACATGTCTGCTTCCCAAGACACCCACTGTGAACACAAATGAAAATTCAAGTGTTGCTACGAAACAAAGCTGGGAAAATGTACCAGGCAAACATGGATATTTGAGAAGACATCCGACCTGTCACATGTGAAACACCCTTAAGTTATTGTAATCATATTCAAGAAAGGGATCAGTCAGTCTCTAGAGACGCTCTCAGACAGGAGTGCAGTACAAAATAGCATGAACTGAGGATGTAGAACAACCAGCATTCCCCATATGCTCCGCATCTCTTCCAAAAGCTGCTATTGATTAACAATATTAACGACCTTAGAGCTGTTACCTGTGTCTTCAACTGGATGTACCTCCTGCCTGTAGATTTCATAACGTTTCTTGAGTGCATCCCTTGCACAGGATGAGCTACCTACCTTGAACATATGTGGGATTTCATGACATGGATTAATTTGACCTCATAACTTCATTCACTTTTGAGATAACCCTAGTTTGTGCTGCAGCATTCCTCTGGACTTCCTCAAAACCTTCTCTGTAAAGGCTTTGAAGATTCCTAGCCTTAGGTGTCAGAGGCTGATGACTCTACTATATGTAGTGACCAAGCACCAAAATCATCACAGAACCAAGAAAACAACCTTTGTTCTTATTCAGCACAAAATCTTGCCTCGGTCATTGGAATACACATGAAGTTCAGCACCTGAAGAGATGGTCCACTGTGGTGCTAGAGTTTGGATCTGGAAAGTCCTGTGGTCTTCTGAAATGATGTGCTTGAATGACAATATCTTCATCACTGCTTTCCATTATGGCATCCAATTATTATTACCCAGCTGGCTTGAATTGAATTGAATGTAATTAACTAATTAACTAAGGTTTAGACCCTGCCTACAAAAGGCGGGCCATTTCCTCCTGGCTGTGGAAGATGTAATGACACCCAGGCTGGTGAGCAACATTCCATGAATCTCCAAATGCCAAGACTGTGTAATTATTCTGCCTATGGCTATGGTAGAATGGGACAAATCTGGAGCTGGGGTAAAGGATTATTGCTCCTTGGTTTGTGTTGTGCTGAGCACATCTGAGCATGGACCGTGGCATTTAATGAGGTGAGAAATCTTTTCTTTTTATCTCATGGTTCCCTAGCAGACCATGGGGTTTCTCAACATGCGTTGATAGTTTCCTCTATCTCTCATTTTGTCTAGGATGCAGATGGATGCCTCTAGGAGCAGGTGAAGAAGCCGAGTCTCTAAGGTGAGGCATTGTCACAGAAAATTCCCTTCCCTCCTCCTCTCACTTGCAAGATAAGCAATGCAGGGCGGCGGAGAGCAATCAGCTGGCATGCTGCATGCTTGGAAGCGGTAAAAGCGGGTGTTCCTACTAACATGAGGTTATCATATTGATTATTTCTTTTTCCTATCATGAGCTGTACTTTCAGTGTCTGTCTTTTTTCCCTGCAGGTAGAAAACCTTGAAGCTGCTTCATAGAAAAGGGTTCCCTCACAACAAATAAATAGGTCAACTACCTGCTTCCCTTTCAGCTACGTCTCTTTCTCATTTTCTGATGTTCTATTTTTTTTTAACCTTGTATTGTATAATGGCCTGAAGTTGTGTTTTCTTTCTTTGTAGAAACTGAAGAATAAACTTTCTCAGCTTTTTGCAGCTCATGGCTGGATTCTGTTTGTGTTTATTCGCACCACAAAGATCTGACTGCACGCACTTCCAGCTGAGACTTTTGGGCAAAACTGTAGTCAAAAACATTACAGAGCATATGCTTCTATATTTCTAATTCAGTTTGTGAGCTGTGCATATCTGCCAGAGTTTTTAAAGCGGTCTCCTACAATCAGAGACCGCCAAGGGTTAGGTGATGTTTTTGTCTGCGGAGTGTTTGCTAACTTCCAGTCTGCGGCTTTCTGAGATGCTCCTCTGTTGGGGGAGCCACCTCCCCACCCTTCAGCAACAATCACCTTCCTATCCTTCACCTGAACATCTCCATACACGCTGTCTCTGCCGTGGGGAATTGCACAGAACCTTCTGTGCTGCCGACAGTGTCCAGGAGCAGTTTGCCGGGGCATGGGTGAGGTGTGTGGCAGGGGAGAGCTGCAGCGCATCGCGGGTGCTGGACCCACTGGCCCACACCAAGTCCAACCAGTGCATCCAGGTGCTGGGTCCTGCTCTATGCTGTTCTCCAGCATCTCTAATGCACCCCTCTTTCTTTTAGTTCAGCATGGCAAAAATAGACGTTTAGATTCCTGTGTCTGCAGAGATAGTTTTATATTTTTATAAAAGATAGGTTTCTGCAATCATATTTTATGCAAAACTTGCCTTAATTTTTTGCTCCAAACCAGATTGCCACTTATGAGCAATTTCTCAGCAGCAGATATTACCGTGAAATAACTCATTTTTTCTTACAGACAATGTAATCTGAGATGAAGTACAATCTATCTTTTACGTCAAAGACTATTTTTTATAACCTTTTTCTTCCAGTTTTCCCAACAATGCCAAAGAGGGCTTTGCCCAGGTCAAAGACTTTCTGTGCTCATAGTGATATGACCTGTTAAGTCTCTTTTATATCGTTATGTTCTGCAGTGTATGTGTATTCCAAATAATATATTCAGATTCTGGATCAAACGCAGTGGGGAGGAAGTTACAGTGAGATTAATACAATAGCCTTCCACAAAGGTGAGACAAAGAAATGTTTGCTTTGGAGTTTCAAAATTGATTTTATACAACCTGTAATTTCAACTATTTATGTGCTCATTATTTATTCACATATACTGGCATCAAGATGCAACATGCATAGTCAGAAACGAGTGTATTCATGGGAGTGAAAAAGCAAATCAAATACTGCACGAGTGGAATTTTAATTAGGAAGAAATCCTCGTGTTTTCATTGAAGTACTATTACTTTCCTGGTTCAACATTTAACTTCGCAGAGTCCTCAGCAGCTGTGTACTCAGCACACATGCACTTAAAAGAAATATGTTGAAGGATCAGGAGTTATGAATAAAAAATTTTTCTATTACATCTTCCTCATCCTCATCCTTTTTAAGCATGACAGCGTTTCAGAGAAGGATATATGCAGTGTGCATTGGATCCATCCGAGTTCCTAGACCGCTCATTTACCTGGGTGAATCAGCGATCGGGGCTCCAGCAGGAGTGTTTGAGGGACGGTGCCACGCGGGAGGCTGTGCCTATGAAAGACTGGTGCTGAATTACGGTAGTCACCAGAGCACCTCGTCTTTAAATGTTGACACCAAGATATGATCTGAGCCACCTTCACCTGCTCAGATCCTGGGTCTCTGTAGCCCCAAATCCTGTCACCGAGGGTGGCTAGGGTCAGAAGTGATGGGAAGGATAACAGATAGGGAGGGAGTCCAGTAACGTGCCCTCTGCCATAGCCTTCCAGCAGTCTGTGGCTCGAAAACATCCCGAATCAAGAGGTTGTATCCTTGTTGCTTCAGTAGTTATCAGTGGCTTTTACTTCCACGAATTTTTCTTATGCCCTGTGGCATCTGCAGCCTCCCGCAGCAATAAGTTAGACAGTTCAACTTCAGATCTCTGTGTGTTGTATGACAGTAACACTTAGAGACTTCATGGTGCCTGTGTCTTTGTGTTTACAATCCAATTTCAGGCAAAAAATCAACAAACAGTTGCAACACTGGAGGATGAGAGGGAGAATAAAAGGTTTAATGGAAGGGTTTGCTTCTCAGCTAAAACTTCCATGTCAGTATCAATCTGATTTCATTTTCTAAATATTCTGCCTAAGACCTCTTTCTCCAATTGTGCATCGTTTCTTTCAGTTTTTGTAGAAGTGCGTGACATATATGAGGTTGGCTTCTCACTGCCCTCTGCCAATCTATCTGATCCCACAACTCCTGCTCCATCAGGAGAGGTCACAAGGCAGGACCACAGGTAAAGGGGATCATGTTGCCCTTGCAGCTGTGCAGTTGACAACACCTTGTTAGCTGCAGCAAATACGTTCTTCCAGGTCCCTTCATCTCCCACTTTCTGCAGTTTGCTTGTTTACTTATCCAAGTAGACAAACATGCAATGAATTTTCAGCCCGTTATCAGAAAATTATTGTCATATTACCCACCAGATTGGATGAACCGATACCTTTATGCAAGATGCTCTTCAGCTATGTTGTGAGAAGCTGATGGTTCAAGTCTGTCTTGATAGCTTCCACCTTCTAGTGTACAACACTAGAGTTTGTGTGTCATCCTCCCCTAAACGAATAATCCAGAATCAACAAATGCCAATTGTTGTTGTCCAGCAATTTTACTTTTATTGGTATATTTTGCACAACTATACCCTTTCTTGACAATAGCCTTCAAAGCATGCAGGTAATCTATCCAGACTGGTTGAGCACTGCCATTGCACTGCGTATTTTCTCCATCAGCCAACAGTTTGAGGTGAAATAATGTCTTCAGTCGATTAAAATATCACGTGTTCTAACAAAATACTAAACACAAGTATTTGTTTTTCATTTCCTCTATGGGAAGCAAAGACTAATCCATTGGTTTTAGTGGATGATGGTCTGGGGGTAAGTTTGGTTTTTGCAGTCTTGGAATTTATTTCTGTTGGTTAAGGCTGTTTTAAGATCAAAAAAAAAAGTCTTTGTACTCGTAACTAACCTGAATGTTCTTCTTAATTTGCTTTTTCTGTTGCAGCTGGATATTTACCACAACATCAAACTGCTGAGCCATTATTAGACTCCAAAACTGTTCTAGACACCTAATTGTTCTAGACACCTCTCTTGCAGTCTCAAGGCGTACTGCAGCCCTGTATCTAAAACCATGTGTTACCCGCGTTACCCTTGAACAGAGAGCATCTGTGTGACCATTTCTTCTCCAGGATATAATCATTCTCTCTTCATCACTGAATTGTTGGTTGGCACTAACAATTATAGACCCTATAACGCAAATATCTTCAGACACATTTGCAACCGTGGAGTAGCAGTAACTTGGTTTTGTTTCACAATTCTTGCAGGCTCCTGCCCTCTTGGGAGCGCAGTGGCAAAGCAACGCAGAGCATCCCTGCCTGCATCAAACCCTCATCAGACAATCACTGATATTGCAGGGGTCCCTTAACCCCAGCAATAATCTGTGGCAGTTCACTGTTTCCAGGGATTATGTGTATAGCACCAGGAAACCTAGATAGGGCATGTGAGTGCCCCATCTTGGAGGGATTCAAGGCCAGGTTGGATGAGGCTTTGGGCAACCTGGTGTAGTGGAGGATTTCCCTGCCCATGGCAGGGGGGTTGGAACTAGATGATCTTTGAGGTCCCTTCCAACCCAAATCATTCCATGATTCTATGATTCTATGAGTGCCTGTGTGCTGCAGTCTCAGGGTCTGCAATAAGGCAAGTTCACCACTCCTGTCCCAACCACCACTGCCTGCTGCAGCCAGCACTGCCTCACCCATTTCATACTCTGATCCAAAGCCTATTGACATTGATGGGAAGTTAACCCTCCTCTCCTTAGACATGTTATTTTCCTGTGGTGCAGAAGTATCAGTCTTCCATGTAAGTCTGCCCAATTTCTGGCGTGGGCAGAGCAGCCAGTTGAGTGGAACTGATAACAAAGTATTGATATTCATGACAACTATTGAATATGATCTTCATTATGGTAACATATTTCTCAATGGATTTCTCCTACACCTTTTTTTTAAACAATCTTGCCAATTTCTCCCTTTCACAAACTGTTAAATCTTCTCTTTCTGTGTATTGAACAAGGAAGGTAAACACATGTAGAAGGAAGATATAATAGAGGAAGAAATAAATGAAAATAAGAAGAAATAAGAGTTCTTGAAAATCTCATTCCTTTGTTAGTACAAAACTATGCAATATTTGAACTGATTAACTTTTCAAAACAAGATTTTTATGTAACAAAATCTTTTCACCTACCAAAAATGTACAAATCTCATTGAAATGCTTCATTTTTTTCTACCAGAAACTTGTGCTTTCTTTTTCTCTAAAAAGTAATATCATAAATCATTGAAGTAGTTGCTGAAGGCCTTTTTTAGCTGAAATTTAACATCAGAACTTCTGAAGCTCTAAATTAGCAATATTTCAGAATGTTTTTAAAATAATTTTATCCGAAATTGAACACTTGAGGAGTGAACACTATTCTAGCACGTCATTGTTGAACAATTTTCTGTGTTTCTCATGGAACCCCATTAGATACCAAGTTTTCTACTCATCTGCAAAAGGCTGCACGAAATTGAAGAACCCTTTTCACTGCCAAGAAAAGCTGTCTGAAAACCATTGATGAGTCTTTTCTGTTTTCTTCGAGAATGCAACTGTTTAATTTGGCTGCTAATTATTTAAATGCCTAATCAGTGAATTTGTTATAATCTTAATTTGTATTACAATTTTCAACCCCAGGCTGTAGATCATGTGCAAGCTTTTTAACACGTTTTTCTGGAATGTCGTACCTCTCTCCATTTTCTTGCCTCTTGTTCTGTGTCAGGCA